GGGTGGTAGTGACCCCCCTGAGGCTTTCGCATGGGACGCCAGGTTACGGAGAACTATCCTGCTTTTCCCCTCAGAAGGACCAGGCCTGGCCTCGCGCGCTGGCTTTGTCCAACAGCCATAGCAGTTCTGGTAGCTGGCTTCTTCCACGTCGGCCTGCTGTTGGATAAACTGTGTTAATGTCGTATAGTATATTCTACTATAGTATAAAGACAAGATAAGATGAGATGACGTAATATAACATGATTTCAAGACATAATATCACGCAAAAACAAGCTACAACATTACAAATATCATTTAGTATAGTCGACTAGAACCGAATAGAACATATTATAATACAACAGAGTATAGTATGATACAATGTAAAATAATATAAGATAACATAATATACCATATTATGTTTTTTGCAGCAAAACAATGCAATACAATACAATATAACACAGACTAGTATTCCATGTTATACTATGTTGTAGTATAGTTCAGAATAGCATAGTAGAGTATAGCACAGTATAGTATAGTATAGTACAGTATAGTATAATATAGTATAACACAGTATAGTATAGTATAGTATAGTATAGTATAGTATAACATGATATGATATAAGACAAAGCGGAACATAAAATAACAGAAAATATAACATCATACAATAATTTTCACTAGAAAATAATGCACTACATGACATAACAATGTAATATAATCTGCAAGGGCATCCGGCTGTAAAGGCCTGAGCACTCATCTTCTCCTCATACGCCGTGAAGCCATGGCAGTACGCCATGGTATCCTTTGTTGCAAGAGTTTCGCGGGAAGCATAAGGAGGCGCACGTTATGGACTGGGCGCATGACTGCAATAGTGATGAAGGGATGCAGCATTGTCCAGCCTAGGAAAACGCCGATGACGCCAGCCACCTGGAGTCCGCGACGATGCTGGAAAACGCTGTACACATCTACGACCTGAACCAAAACCTTAGTGATGCATGGCGGCACTGAGAGCTGCACCACAGCCACCTCTCGTGGATCTGACACGTGATTTGGGCTTTCTATGTCCTTCGGCGCTGCACTTCACATGCCAACTGCCACAGCGAATCGCATGCGCATCTACACAGACATTCGGAGTCACTCCGTGTAGCGGGTGAAGGAATTCGTGATCATCTTGGCAACAGGCTGGAAGAAGACAAATGTTTAGAAAGGGAGAGTCGACGTCTTGAAGCATCGTATCCCAGATCTGGGATTCGGGCGTATGTAAGGACACACGAGCCTGCACCGATTCCAGCTATTCCCACCGCGATGAAGACCAAGCAAACGCCTGATAAGAGGAAGGAGTTGAGCAAGCAGGAACGCCTGAACAAGAATTCCATTTCTGCCTTCGACGGCCAACCATTGGGATCGGTCGGTGAAGATAACCTCCAGAGCATGCCTCGGCACGAATATAAGTATGTCCGGATCTACATATATATATATGCACATATACAACAAGTGTATGTATGTATGTACGTACGTATGTATGTATGTATGTATGTAAATATGTATTATGTATGTATGTATGTATGTATGTATGTATGTATGTATGTGTGTGTATATATTCATATACGTAGACATACAAAAACGTGTATATACATATATATGTATATGTGTACATATATATATATATACACACACATATACCCCAAACTACAGGCATAAGACTAGCCATTACCGTAGTCAGTGCTACAGTGCTGCAGTATGTGGACCACCATTGGCTCTGAGACCCCCGCTGGGTGGCTCCGCAAAAGCCCGAGTCTCCGTGGTACGCTATGTCCATGAGAGCGACCTTTCATAGTTTCATCGCCGGAATAACGCTTCAAACGCTCAAACTTCTCATGACAAACAGAGAGAGATCTTGCAGGCGAATATGGAGCACCAGGAATTCACATGGCCATCCTCTGAAGCTGCTGAAGTTTAGCACACGCTGGCAGAGGATGTATAGGGATACTGTAAGGGATACTACAAGGGATACAGTCCCTCGTGGAGGGAACATGGATACAGAGTTTAGTAGAGTTGGTTGTGCTGCGTGGGTGCGTCCGGGAATACTCGGATCCACAATGGCATCCCCAGTCTAGAGGCCACAACGGACAAGCGACACGTCAATTACATCTATGTGATTAGCAATATTAGCAAGATTGGATACTGAAGAAAGGAACAAGAACAGAAGCAATAACAGTAGTAGTTCTTGGTGCTTCATTACACTAGGTTGCATGACTGCACCAGAGGAAGGCAAGGAAGCGAACTAAAAGAAAGCAGGGATTCTGCATGCGCCCAGTAAGACTACCCACCCCTAAACCCACAACCCACAAATGTCAAAATCAAAAAAGCAGCAAAAAACCAAACCCTACGTGAATGCTACATAACACTTTGATCGGACGAATCAAAAAGGCTGGCGCCTGGCTGGTCAAGTCGAGGATACGCTGAACACAGGCGAGGCAAGCATCTGTAAAGATGCTCAAAGCCTGGCTTGTATAGTTTCTAGTATATAGTATATAGTATGTAGTATATAGTGTATGGTGTATCGTGTCTAGTATGAGTATGTAGTATATAGCATAGTATAGTATGGTATAGTATAGCATAGTATAGCACAGCATAGTATAGCATAGTATAGAATAGCAGAGTGTAGTCTAGCAGAGTACAGTACAGTGTTGTGTATGCCATCCAGTAACCCTTCAGCGATTACAAATTCTTCAGACCATGGTATTATGCGGATGGTTGCACTTCGACTCACAATTCACTTGCCGGATCCTACGACTGACGACAACACCCGCGCACAGAGACAATGCAACTGAGGTGGCTAGAAGCGGTCCTGGGCAATGCAGCTCGTGACTGGGTTTGTGCTCAGCCCCTCCTGGCACAGGGTTCAACATATCGGCCGACAAGGCTGAAGCGAAAATCCGTGTCACCATCGGGACCTGTGCACTGAGAAAGGCCTTCACGATCCAACGCCTAAGAAGCCGCACTTGGAAGGATGGAATCAATGCAGTCTTGGCCGGTAGGTTGGATGGAAACCAGGATCGCACATGCTGGCTTGTCAAGGGCTACTTCTGGGTGCGTGGCACTATCCGCAGAGTCACCATCAGGAAGGATGCAAAGATCAAGGAGCCCAGGTGGGAGGTGACAGCCGCGCAGTAGGCTGCAGAGCGGAGACACAGAGAATCAGTTTCGGAGCATGACCCAACACTCCACTGAGGGCCTGAAAGCATCACGGCCGGCCCACAGGTGCCACAAAAGTTAGTACGCCTCTTGCTCCACCCGCTGTAACTTGCGCTGATGTTGAAAGGCAGCTGGGAAACCGACGAAGTCCCATAGTGCTTGAAATACCAGGTCTCTGCAGTGTAGATCTGAGCAGTGTCATACTGCACAGTGGCCAAGCCCTCAAACTGTATGGGTTCTAGTCAGTTCTAGTTAAAGTCTAGGAGCCCCTCTCTTGAGCGTCACTCCCATGACATGCTCAGCCCAGCACCACCACAAAAACGGAGATGTAGTGCAGGAGTTCCATGAGCTTAGCCACGCAGAGCAATGCGCAGCCCATGCAAGCTGCGTAGATGCAAAAGGTACGACCCAAGCAGTTCCAAAAGCAGCAGCAGAAACACAAGCGTCCCACACAAACTCAGGTACAGACCCAGAAGAACATGAAAGTCGCATAGACTGCGCTGGTCAAAGCGAGGTCATCCTCAGCACAAAGCTCTCACGAAGGAACCGCGGGCGGCCGCTGTGGCCTCGCAGGGCCTTGCTTGGTGGTGGGCTGGATTGAAGAGGCTGGAAGGATTCGTCAGATCCACAGACTGATAGTCTCCAGATGTCACGAGCACAAGGATCAAGACCTTCAAGCGAAGCACAGTGGCAGTTCATCTGTTTCACGCCGAGTGGTTCTCAGCTGGCAACCACCCCGCCGACGATGAATGGTACCTGCAGCTTCGTTTGGCTAAGGCGGGCCTTTTTGCAGGCATAGAGGGCTCGGGGATGGCCTTCAAGATCAAGCTCAGGATGGGCTCGGCCAACAGGGTCGGCATTGTCATGATGCAGTCTGCCGCCTACACAAGCATTCTCATAGCAGACGAATTTGTGACAGGACGAAGAGTCGCGATCACCGTCAAAACGACGAGAACAGCATCTAGAATCTAGAAAGAAGCCATGTTCAGCGCAACTGATGGCAGATGGCCCCTGTTCCTGATGTGTGTTCGCCAGGGTTGCTTGATGCGAGTTTGCTACCACTGTGATCCCTAGAGCATCAAGATCATCAACAAGTGGTCAACTGTTTGCCGAAGTCCCATTCGTGCGCTTGCCGACACAGCGGGCGGACAGTGTTTTGCTGCTGCCACGCTTCCTACCTGCCACCTGTGCAAGACGAGCTGCCACCAGCAGTATGCTGTGAGTATGGCAGTCTGATCTCTTATGTCTTGTGATTGAGATACGTCGACGTTTCACATTCGCTTCTTCGTGGCAACAACAGTTCTTCAAGCTTCAGCCTGCTGCGATTTACTGTGGCCGCGATGCTCACGCTCTTGTCTTGTCGCGCTGTGCTCCGTTCGGCAGAATTGGTATGCATACAATCTCTCACAGCAGCCGAACTGGCATGGTGGTTTCCCTTGTTGTTTCGTGAACTTTCACTTTCCTTGTGCTGCCAGAGTTGCTATGAAAATTTATTGGGGACTTTGGGGGCTAGGCGGCAAGTCGTAACTTGCTTTGTTTCTGGATAGCAGTCATGATGATGCCGTCATGGTTCTGCCATTACCAGATTGCACTCTTGCTTTGCTTCAGGCTAACCGACTACGTAACCATAGCATGTCAGATTACCGAAACACCGTTGTAAACTCGAACGAGGCATTCATGCATCAAAACAAGTGGATGCAGTTTCCGGCATGGATTTCCATGGCCAGCCCACCCGCACGAACACTGTCGAAGGACAATACAGGACTGTGGCGAGATCACAACATGTTCCACGCGACACAACACCTCTGCCCAAAGAAGCAGCCGATACGGATCTACAAGTTGCACCAACATGAGTGTTGCTTTTTCCAGCAGAGTACCAAAACTGATGGAAGTACACAAACATGCCCTTTCACGATTCTGGGATGGTCATCGTGCTTACCCAGTGCCCGGCATTGCACTTACGTAATCTCACCTCATGGCCTGCTACAAGTGATCCGACTGCTACGACGTCGACTCCATGGAAACGCGAGAGCTCTGACAAAAGGTTGCACAGACAGGCCTCCTGCGCAGCTTCTGTTGCCTGGTCAGGCTTGCAGACCCTCCGTGTCACCGTGTCACCGTGTCACCTTGCAATACGCTGGACGTAGAGACATACATCCAAGATATGAAAATATGTCGAAACACATATATGCCTTTATATATATATATATTTATTTATATTTATATATATATATATATTTATTTATTTATTTATATTTATATTTATATTTATATTTATATTTATATATATATATTTATTTATTTATATTTATATTTATATTTATATTTATATTTATATATATATATATGTTTATTTATTTATTTATTTATATGCTATTCCCCCCCAAGAACTATCGCGAGGTGCCGCGATAGCGCCACCAATCCTCCTACTTTTAAGCTTCTGGTGTATGATCCAGGTTTAACGTTTGGCTTCTAATTTCCGAGGGGACAGCATATGTATATCGGCAGAAGCCTAATTCTGAATTTTTGCGACCCTTCACGAAGATACTGTGAGAGATGATTTCTCCAACGACGACAGTCATTTCTGTCAAGGCAGCCTTCGCTGTAGTCTCATATCAAAGCCCCAGCAATACGCATGAATGACCGTGGGCCTTGACTGACTCCTACTCCTAAACAACAGCATCCCGATGCCCCCAATGATGACAGTAGCCTTCTATTTCATGTTCACCCAAAACGCAGCCCTTATGGATTCACGTCTTAGTTCATATGGATTAAGATGCTATGTCTAGTGGAACCCATTATGCATTCCCTTTGTATTTTTAAACTCCCATACCGACATGAAAGTTAACATGATAACACACCTCAGCCTGATTGGCCCCCCGATGGTAAAGATATTGCAGTCCCCTTGGCAACCCTGAAATTGGATATAACTCCAAGATGGACCGTACCCGCAAACTTAGTACTACCCAAAACATGTTCGCATTTGTAACCTTCGTATTGTAAAGGATACTTCCTTCAACAGCAACCCAAAGAATGGCTTTAAGAGAAACCCCGACCATTGGCGTCATCAACAGGCTAATTAATCCAGATGTAGATGTGGGATCTCTTGCACGGCATTCAAGTCCCCGAAGTTCAAAGTCATGGCATCCCCACGAGTATTTATTGTTAATATGAATACAAGCAAGCTAAACACTTTCCTAACATTTACTTCAACGGTAGCCGTCACTTTCAGGCAAATATTAAACTACACAAAACGATGCCCAGTAAGAGCGACGATCCTTGCTGTCTTCGCTTTGGCGTTACCCAAATGATGGCCCTTAGATGTTTAGAGATGATATCGACATGTGTTTGTTTGTTTCCTCATACTGTACATGGCCACCCCTTTCTCATTGTAGCAAATGATCATCTCGGACTTGTCGTGCGTATATACACATGCTACCCCTAAGGCAAAACCTGCACTAGATACCAACGTAGTCACGAGGATCGCTGCTTGGCTCCTGATTCCAGACGACATCAACCCTAACCCTATCCTTGGCATTCGCCCTTATGTCAATGGTATTCGCCCTGACAGCAGCCCTAAGGCCATCCATAATAGGCTTAGTACCACCCATAGTCTGACCCCGATGTTTCTCTGATTGAATTTACAATTGGAGGTAGAGACCCCCTTGTAGGTTGCGAAAACATCGGCCGTGCGCAAAAACACTCAACATATCCATAGCAGGAAATGCGGAAACTTCGGCAGTGCCGAACAACGCCTCAGCTATACAAAAACTGAGCAGCTATGGCCCAAGGGATTTCAGGATGTGGTAGATTTTGGGCATTCCTGGCGGCATCTTGGCACCTTGATGTTGAGTTTTGTATTTTAACCCTTAGGAACTCTGGCAGCCTGACATGCGAAAACATAGGCAGGAATCAACAATACCCATACTTCCCGTAATCATGGTGCCAACATGCCGCAGGCTCCAGAAATGATTCCCACAGTAGTCAAAGCAAACTGCCAAACCTACTGAAGACCAAACGCCATACAGATGCCACACAGATTTTAGGTATTTTATACATTGCCGTTTGCCCTGCCAGGAACCTCGCAAGGCCCAAATTACCCAGACACAACATAATGAAATCAGAACAGGCACATCTTGGCTCATCTTGGCATACTTTTCTGCCGCCACACTGCACTGCACTGTGTCCCTGCTCTCGCCCTGCCTTCACAAGCGAGGAGTACTGACAGCACGCCAGGAGCCCAAAGATGATCGACCTTTTTTGTGAAATCAATGCGAATGCAAATCTACGCTTGTTCTGCAGCCTGCTGAATCTATGTAGTGCAAGTGTTACTGAGATGTTGCTGATGCTATGACAAGATTCGTTGCCAGTATTACAATCTTGTTGCTTGCATGGTTATGAGCAGCAGTCGTAGTTGTAGTGTTAGTAATTGTAGTTGTAGCAATTCTTGCTGGAGCAATAGCGGTAGCGGTAGTGGCAGCGGTGGTGGTAGTGGTAGTGGTGGCGGGTCGGGCAGTGGTAGTGGCAGTTCCAGTAATAGTGGTAGTGGTTATGGCAGTGATAGTCGTCATAGTCGCGGCGTTCTAGTAGTACTGCCAGTGGCAGAAGCAGCCGTAGTAGCAGTAGTAGTAGCAGCAGTAATAGCAGCAGTAGCAGCAGCAGCAGCAGCAGCAGCAGCTGCAGAAGCAGCCTCAGCGGCAGTACTGTAGCAGGGGTAGAAGACGACGCAGACTTACTGACGTGTACATGTTCGGTCCATCAGAGGCATCTTGGCTCGGCACGCACCCACGCCAACAGTCCCAGCAACCAGAAGTCCCTGGTCCTGACTCGCAGCGGTCCAAAGCTACCGCTCAATCATCAGAGAATGCAGGTAGCTGCAGAAGTTGCATAAGCATATCTGAGCATGCCATGCTTTCACTCTGCGTCTTGGCATCAGGCATCAGAGATGTAGCCTTGACTCCACGTTGCGATCCTTGGCCATGCATGTGCTTAGACAGCTGCAGATATTTCTGAGCAAGCCTGTGTGGGATCCGTTATCATAGAGAGGAGCTGTGACGCAATAGGCGAAGTCTCATCTTGATACCACCTTGGAGGCAATTCTCCTGTCTTGTCGGATCCATGAAACTTCACCATGCTTGGTTCTGGGCATCGCGAGGAAATAGCAACCAATGGCCGCCGGAGCTGTGACCCTCACACATGGGAGAAATGCAGAAGTGTGTCGGTCTGGCGACAAGTGCTCCATAGCGACCCATCTGAGTCTATGGCACGAAAGCCAGAGACAGCCGCATCAAGAAAAGACCAAGGTATTCAACCTGGAACTGCGGGAGATTCGTGATATCAAGTTAACGCTGACATTTAAGTAAAGCAGCCAGGCAGAGGAAGACGAAGGCGATGATGACCGCCCTGAAACATCAAGCAGACAATCAAAGGATGAGATTTCGGCTGTGATTCACTTCAGGCCAAGGCAGTGCGACAGCCATCCACAACACTTCAGCATTCCTCGGACACTCACAGGTGTCTGTAGGTCACTGTAGGTACTCGGAAGTTCTGCCGCGTCTATCTAGGTGGGGATATCTTTTTGTTTCCAGAAATGCAATTGGGTCAAGTGGGCATCCGGCGACGTAAGACTGTTGATGTCCAGAGCTATCTCGAAGAACTCGTTGCTTCCTGGCTCGCATTACATGTGCCTGCACCCCCGACAATCGGAATTGGGGCCTGTGATGCCCATGACTTGTCCCTGGAACTCACCTTGGCACGGAGAAATGGCCCGCTCACTGGCGAAACACCAAGCCCTTTCGAGGCCACCACCGACCTTCGGAAAGCACAAGACGTTTGCCAGAGGCACGGAGGGATAACCCTGGAGCCGGACCTCCCACGAACACATGAGAGCCGACTCTGGGATCTGCAAAATTTCTCGGGACCTGCCCCGGAGGAGCAGGGGCCATGGTCGTGACCTGGGAGTCCAGGGCGCTACGGAGGCACTCTTGGGACTTGAGCCTCCACTGAGCTCCCTGCTACTACGGTGGTTTCCTGCAACTGTGGTGCAAACGGATCCTCCGGCTCGCTGGGAGGCTGAACCCCTTCGCCGACCGTTTCGGCAGTTGTCGTCACCTGCCGGGACCCCCCGAATCTTGCTCTTCATCCTTCACACAGGTACTGCAGCCCGGGGCGGCCTGTGGCGATGGGTTTGATCCGAAGAGAAGGCTGTCTGTCTCGGCGATGCCGGCTCCCTGACTGCGAGCTCCCTTCTTGACGTCCCAGTCCCCCCCGCGGGATTTAGGCGCTCGGTGCCTGGGTGGCGCTCACTAGGCCACCTTGCAGCCTCCTCGCCTCGAAGTGCCGAAACAGCATGTTGCCGTCGTGCTTACATTGGTGCCATCAACCCCCTTGTCGAGATGAGTCACTGTTTCGAAAGGCTTCAGGATCGTCGTCACTGGTTCGCTTGCTGTCGGGCAGGCGTCCACACCTCGACGGAAGCAAAAGGGCCGACTTTCTGCTGTACGTCCGAACCAAGTCCCCGGCAGACTTGTTTATGCAAGTTCAATCCACCCTCATCTTGTGGAAAGAAGATGTACTTCCTCAAGGGTCCCATGACATCAATAATACCAGGAATGCGTCGGAGAATCCTCCTAGGGCACGGACCCCACACACTGGGTTCCCTGGTAGTCCGGCAAGGACTCCAGCCCTGAAGCGCCATGCCAGAGAGACTAAACCTACCATGCAGTGCGTTTCTTTGAGGGCCCTGCGGGTGATGTCACCCTTGTCGTGCGCAATATAGATGCAGGCGCCCAACCCAGCCAACCTCAATGCAGCTCATCCTGACCAGCTGTCATGTCTGCAAGAGCTGCAAGAGCATTCCGAGCGTGAAGCGCTGCTGCGAAGATCAGAATACAACAGCAATCCGTACAACTTCCTCAGATACCGAGATGAGATCTGCTTGACAACTTCACTGCTAAAACCAGCAATCGGCAAGGCTCTCAGACCTTGAGGACCTGGCTCTGAACATCCAAAGGGGTCCTGGCCAGTTTGCCGTCCTGTCAGCGGAGTCAGAACTCATCTTGCCCTACAGGTGCCTTGCATGAACATGTCGGCAGACTGCGTGTGGATGCCTTCTTGATCGGCATCGTGTCACCAGGTGAAAGCGAAGAGATGCAAAGCTCTTTTAGATTTGCATTTGTCTGACTTCGTGTGCATAGAAGACCAGTACTGTGATGATAACTGTTCTGTCCCAGCCATGTGCTTTTTGATTTGTCCGGTTCATTTAGGCGCAGCACCAACAGCAGGTCTGGGTAGAAAGCAGCGGGGTCTCATCAACTCAAATTTCACTTGGTTGCAGCTCCACAGCCACGAGTATCGGCTGAGATCGTGCACTTGAAGAACGTGGATATGCTGCCAGAACCTGGCCATGCAGCCAAGAGCAAGCGACACCTAGCGGACAGCAATGTGGAATGACTGAGAAGGGAGCTCGCGTGGCAACTTGCTGGCACCTCTGATTTGGCTCACGGCCTGCTGGAGAGCCAACAAGACATGCCGACACACGCAAGAAACGAGCGACCTCAGCAAGCATCATTAGCCGAGACAGTCCGTCATCGTAGCAGAGCACAGCAACCTGGCGGCGGGAAAGCGGTGACACTCTCAAAACATTGGCAGCACGCACGAATCCCTGGCCTCGATCTGTGGAATTGGAACTGACGGGGGTCCTGGTTTGACTGAACGCTCGAGCCCTGGGGCAAACCGCACATGCAAGGAAGACGCCAAAGTGCAGTGCTGCTTTCATTGCTTTCAGGCTCCGTGGAACTGGCAGCTGCGACACGATGTGTTTACAACAACAACGATCAGGCATGCACAATGAAGCGAAAAGGTGCGAAAGCGAATTATTTTGTACTTGTAGGTCGGGGGTCAAGAGGTACAAAGAAAACCGCGTGGCCAAACCGAAGAGACATGCAGGGAGAAGACACCGATATGCCCTGAGTTCGTAGATCCCAGTACAGCAGATGCCGAATTCCCCTTGGACTACTGGTAAGTCGCTGGCCTGCGCTGGATGTCCGACTATCCAGGGTTGAGGCCATCCCTCAAGATATGATATCGTTTCTCAATGATTGTACGATGGAAAGCACCAAGCTGCCAGCCAGTTGAAGACATGCCCGGGACGGCCTGGAATGCCACCAACCCCATCCCTAGTGCCAGGTGCGAGTCCAACCTTTGGCCTGCAGAGAACCTTCAGATCGGCTGCCGGCCAAAGCCTGCTCTGCATGAAAACGCCGACATCGCCTGTCTGAGCCAAGATGAGAAGAAGGTGGCCTTGCCATCTTTGCTCTCTTGACGGCCTCAAAAAGGCAGCGAAAAGCCGCGTCGCGACATGTCGCGATGTGAGAAGTCCAAGCAGGCGCCGAGGCTTCGGGCTTCCTGGCTCCCTTGGCTTGATGGCCTTAGCCCGGCTGGACTGCCGGTATCACCGCCCGCCCGCATCCGCCCGCAGTACAGAAACCGCGGAGCCTTCCGGACAAAGTCACGCAAGACCCGCAGGAGCTCGGCCGAGGTCTTCATCCGGGTCACCTTCGAACCGCTTCCACGACAGGACATAACGAGTTCAGGAAACTTGAAATGCGGATTCGTGAAGCTGGAGAGAGGGATCATGGCAAAACACAGAGGATTCAAGGAAGAGCTCGAAGGAATTCAAGATGCTCTTGTCGCGCTTTGATTCAAGTTTACAGCAGATTGGAGGCAAAACCCCTGGCCGGCCACCACAGTGGCGGCACCACGACGTGACTAAAACGTCCTGGGCAGCAGAGATACCCTTGAACGAAGATCAACAGAACACAACAAACGTTTAAAAAAAAAAGGAGTCCTAAACCCCACACCCTCAGCTCAAACCGTGTTGAATCCCATGGCATGGCTCCCACTGCGCTTCAAGGAAAGAGCCAACAACACACAAAAGGCCCCGGACATGAGCAAGAAATCAGGGAACGTAGCATTAAATCACCACAACTACCACAGTGGGTTTAGGGTGGACGGAGGTTTAGGGGTATTAGGGGTTTGGGTTTAGGATCTAGGGTTCTGCATAGACTTACTACTGGTAGGAGCCATAGTTGCTAGAATGATGAATTAGCTGAGGGCGCCGCCTGGATCCGGCCCGCAGGATCGATGTGGTACCTCCACGAAAAAGCAGCCCTATTTAGATTTCTTCGTTATTAGAGCCTTAACACCAAAACTTGCAGATGCTGGAGCAAGCATCAAAATAATCGGTGCACATTGTTCTGTGCCGGTTCTGGTGGTTGTCGTCAATTCTCAAGGTCGTGCCTCCTCTTGGGCTTCCCCTTCTCCAGGATGACTGTGTCCGGCAACATGATGCCCAGCTTCCCTGGCAAAACAAGGAGTCCGAAGGCCCGGAGGGCAGCTGGACACTGCTGGGGCCTTGTAAGGAAGCAGGGTCTGGCACCCAAGTACCATCGTAACTCACCGTGCCAGGAATTCCCCCTCCTGGCAGAGTCGGACTTTCTCAAGCAGCCAGAGATGAGATGCCAATGCCCCAACCTTCACTGGGAACGATTTCTGAAATGACCTCAGCAACTACAAGTGAACAAGAAGAAAGCCTTTGCCAGCGCGGGGCATAGGAAGATCCAGCTCCAGCCAAGCGGCCCGAAGAAGCCAAGTGTAGTCACGTTTCACGGTCTGGCCACTGCACATCTGGAGCCTAAACAAAAATGGATCGGGGTTGCGCCTGCACTCCGCCATCCGGTGAGAGAGGACGCTGATCCGCGTTCCCTGCCTATTATATAAGAAGTCAAGACCGGGAAAGGCCGTGTCAAGAGAGCATCAGCGCACCTCCACACCCCGAACGCGCATCTGTGGCCTCCGGCAGCGGTGCACATCCGAGTATTTATGCTGTCAAAGGAAGCAGGCCTTTTGCCAGGCAGGCTGCTAGGCTGAAGGCGGGCCTCCCAGCGATGTTGGACGCACAAGATGCGATGATATCTTACCACGAAAGCAAGCTAACAAATCAGAGAAACCTGAGGTGCTAGTGTTGGCCAAACGTCCACAGTGCCTCAAGAGAGCAAGCGCAATGCATGGATGATCATGCAGCTTGCACGACATCAAAACTTAGATGAAGCAAAAGGGGACCCCTGGCAGAGGATATGTGTCGCTTGCGGAAAGCTTGGTGGCAGAGTTTGGGCCAGCCCTCAGACCGTACAGGTTACAGCTTCAGGATGTCGATTTCAGGGGTCGTAGGCCATTTCGGGTTCGGCGGGTGCTCCAATCTTTCATCTCGCAGGCACGTGATTCAGCGTGTGAGCTGGCAGAAACACCGCGGCGCGCAAGATGCTGCAAGGAGACGCTAAGTCAGGCACTGCTCGTTGACTTGCTCACCGGAGGCAAAGGCCAGTCCTTAAAGGTCAAGAAGTGAAGGGTGGCACAAAGAGACAGTGTGAAAGAGCTGCTTCGGGTACTTGGTGTGTGGCAGGACTTACTGCTGGCCCAGCACGTGCTCTGGCTGCCTGCCGAGTCTAAGCACCGTAAACTCTCCTGCTCACGAAAGTCGGCTTGACTGCAACCACAGAACAGACAGCATATCCTCGATGTACTCGACTCTTTTCTACATCTATGGTCTCCCTGGATCTGCTGGCTCGCAGTCTGTCGCGAAAATGTCACAATCGGGAAAGACGACTGCGTCAAGCAGCTCGTCATGCGACTCACAGGGCACTTCATCCTGTCTTTGTTGCAGAAGTCCAAGCCCAATCGTTCTCAAAGGCCGGCTTCCGTCCGGTCGCTGTTTAGCACGCTGCACATAGCGATCATAGAAGCCCATGCCCTGACCACAGCGCCTTCGACTCAGGTCCAAAGCGACGGCCGGTACCAGCAGAAGATCCAAATCCCATGGCTCCACTTTGGGAAAATGCTCCGGAGGCTCGGGGATCTTCCACTTCGACAGCGGCAGAGCCGCAGCTTCCTCCGAAGTCTTTACCTCAAAGAACTCCATCCAGCCATCGCCCATCACCCGCGGGCAGAACACCTGCTTTCCGCTGGAGTAGGCTTGCTGCAATATGGGCCCTGTCCGGAGCTCTCCCATGGGCATCGCGAGAAAGATGCCAATCCTCTGACTCGCCGTGAAGAGGCTGCTGCGCACCAGTCGTTCGCAAACGGCCTGACCAAGGCACGAAAAGAAGATCTATACCGACACAGTGGCCGTGACTCCTCGCGCCTCACTTTGGCGATTCAATTCAGCGTCATCCAGGATCTTCAGGCTAGCGCGCACCTGCAGAGGCTCAGACAGACAGATGCTAGAGGGATGTTCTCTTCACCCTGTGGACCCTGCGTCCTAAAGTCCCACAACGTCCCACATCATGCCTGCTTGCGCAAGGCCGCTTTGGCCGCAGACACCGAGGAAGCGGAGGCGCCAAGCGACATCGCGTCTGAAGTCTGCTTGGCTAACAGCCTCGAGTGTGCCTGCTTGGGCTGAGAATCATCTGAGAATATCCGAGAGTTGAAAAGGCGGGTATCGACTGCTTCCGGACTCCCAATCTCTTTGCAACTTGAGCCCGAGCTATAGGCTTAGGAGCCCAGGCCGCCCATTGCAGACAAAAAACTCCAGGCACAGCCAGTGAAAACTCGAGCCTCCGCGCACTTCTGACAGCGACCTCGGCTCGAAGGAGCTCTGCTTTTGCCTCCCTCCGACAGCCTTCGAATCTTTCGAGCTTCCGGCAGGTAATGGTGCCGGCATGTTCGCTGACCAGCGCTTTGGCGGCCCTGTTGCGCTGCCTGGCCACAGCATCTGAAAGCAACAGGAAGGGCGACAAAGCGAGTGGCAAAGTCTACAGCTGCTTACCCTTTCACGCACTTTGCGATTCTATCGTTTGTTGAAAATGCCTCTTGCGGCACAGTGCTTCACACTGTCCCAGCAACTAGGACATTTGTCACTGTTGCCAAGCAGAGCCACTCTATTCATTAGCCCAGCCGTTTCGGCATTCCGGTGAAGCACGGCGCTGACATGCAGCACGTGCCCTCTGCCCCTCATGCAAGCTTTGGAATGAGGGTGGAAAGCTACATCTGACGTCGCTGGTCCCTGGCCTACCGAAAAACTATAAGACAGCGGCAGGCCGGGAAACCTCTCTACTCGGTCTCTGCATGAAGCACGGACAAAGCTTTTGCCGATTTCCAGGCAGCTTGCGCTCGCACCACTTTCCTTACTTTGCTCAGATGAATGTGGGAGCTGCGTCCAGCCATTTCAAGTCGTTCAGCCCAAGAATATGATACGAGCAAAGAAGGCCAGTCTCAAGACGGAATCTAGGATCCGGGCGAGAGCTTGTTCCACTGTGGCCGCGCCGATCTCAGATCCACACCTGCGGTAAGGGACAATTGTGACACATGTTCACGTCTCTGCGGCTCTGCGCGCAAAGTCTGAAGGGGCTGTTAGGGCCATCACGGAGGGTTGGCTGGACCTTAGACCCGGAAACTCCAAGACAGACAGAAGCATCACGTTCTCTGAAAGGACGAATGTGCGCCCAGCCGCTTCCTCCTCATTCTCCTTCTCCTCGACCTTCGCAGCCTTCTTTGCAACCCACCACAGCCAGAAATCAGACACATAGCTTTGGCTTTCGGGCACCTCGTCCTCTTGTGCCGGAGGACCCACCCGCAGCCTCACACAGCTTTGTCCTACTCTGTAGCGGCTCAAATCCTGCGACACGACGGAGCAAGCCGTTAAAACCACCCAAGACGCCCGAAGACATTACTCTCAGCCTCTCATCACCCATGCCCAAGGGCCCAGCTCATCGACACGGCGCTGCCAATCAGCCTGCTCGGCCTTACTTTGGCTCACAAGTATAGACAGTATAGAGACAGAAGACTGTGTGTACATCTCTGTGTGCGTGTACATGCACATACATGTACACACGTTCACGCACATGTACTCATATGTACAAAAAGGAACAGATTCGTACGCACATACACATATACATGTATGCACATTGCCTGCAGACACAAATACCCAAATACATATGTATGTTTCAATCCAAACATCTGACAAGCATGCACATGTCTGTGTGATTCAAGTCTGAAGATACGCGGAGAGACACAAGCACGGCCAACCTCTGAAAGACGAGCGAGACCCCACACCTGGCTCGCACCTTTTGCTCCTCTTCACTCTTCTTGAATCCGTGCACTGTCGGCGCAGTGACGACATTAAGAACTCGCAGACTATCCGTCTGCCACCAGGAAACCTGCCTGGGCACACTTAAACATTCAACAAATTCACCGGCGGATCAGGCCAGGAGTCTGAAGTTCAAGCAAGGCAGTCTCAGAGGGTGGAAGTGGCAAAGCTGGGCGAGGGCAGGGGAACTCATTCGAGCTCCACGCTGACTCGTGGCAGTCCGCCGCTACATGGCAAAGTCCTTTGACTGCGTCATTTTTCAACCAGCTTCTTCAAGCAAAGAAGCGGCAACTCCTACTGAAACCGATGAAAGCTCCGGGAGACACCATCAGAGAAACACAGCAGAAGCAAACACTAAAAACAAAAAAAACGGTAAAACTAGTTGGGAGCCGCTTCTCTTCAGGAGCACTGGAAGGGAGCCTTTGGCTCCCAGGCCTCAGCATGAGCTCCAGAAATCCCGGGAGGCTCCAAAAAGAGAAAAGCCGCCTCAGTTCTCACATCCGCATTCCTCGCTGATCTTCGTCAAGCTCCACCTCGAAGAGCAGCCATGCCCTTGCAGCTACGCCGCAGAGCCCAGCGCAAAAAAAGCCGCTCTTTTCTGCCCTCAAAAAGCGCCTCTGAAGCTCTGAGCCCCTCGGAGCGGAGGCACACCGAGCACCGCACCAGTGGCATCTGGGCGGCTTTCCATGCAGAGACCTTGCGGTAGAAATTATCATTGACAGGGAAAGAACCTCCTTAGAGTCCCTGTACATAACCAAAAAAAGAACAAGCTAGAACAGAGCCCCAAAGACCCTAAAGCCTGTGGGCCCCAAGCTGAGCCTAGAGCTGCCTCAACGCAAATTGCAACGCATTCTGCCTTCGACTTCGATTGCCTCAGATCCAGGGTTGGGGGTTTAGGGCAGATGTAGGGTTTCTATAAGCATTTCTATGAACAGCTCTGTTTGGGGCTTTGGGGTTTTGCGGCATAGCATAGGTCACAGTCTACAGTTTTACATGGACTCTTGTAAGGTGATTCTACTACCAACTATAGCTACGGCTGACAGATCTCCGGAGCCCAGCGAAGGCGTTGCAAAACGTCGGCATCTTTCCGCTCGGATGAACTGCAGGACTGTGTGTCCGGCGGCCATGGTGGCGGCGTTGTCACCTGTCATCCACACCGAGCTCACATCACCCCAAGTCCTGTTGATTCCGAACTCTCGGCCCGGCCTGAGTGACCAATCTTCTGCAGGAGCCGTTGCCTCGAGAATATTACAGAGATTGCTAAAAGCTGCTTCCCTCCAACCGGATATACCCGCATCACCACTCTGCTCTTCAGTCTTCCTCTCCCCCGGCCTCCTGCAGCTCCCTCTGCCACTGCAGAGCAAAGAGGGCCTCGGGACCGTTCGGAGATGGCAAAGCTCCACCCACTCCTTCCGCTTCACCCGGGATCCGGGCCCCGAAAAAGATGCCAATGACTAGGGCCGCACGTGCTGCGCGGCGCGGCAAACGAAAGCAGACCTCCTGTCGCTCAACGAAAGCCCCAAGCAGCTGCTAGTAGCACTTTCCCCTGCAACTTGGAGCAAAAAGGAAAAGAACAGCGAAGACCAGCGTACTCCCGTTGAAACAGCATCCAACGGCAGACCTGTGGATGCGCCACGCCCTCTTCGAGCAGCTGGGTCATGCCAACTGTGTGAAAGCGCCTCTCCGTGCGGGCATCGGAAAGCTGCTATGTTTCGCACTATTTCGCACTGAACCGATGCAGCTGACTGCTGAACGCCCAGCCTGGCGACTTGCACTTCGGACATGAGCAGCCTGCACCCTAGCAGAAGATGCCCCTGCTTGTCTGCAATGCTTTGCTTCGTCTCTTTGCTGGACTACTCTGCATGTCGTTTTCGAACATGTAGACATGTGTAGACGTTGAATATGTCAGAAATCATGTTCATCATGGAGACTTGGGCCTTCTGACAGCCAGTGCAATTCACGAGCGCATCGGTCCAAAAAGAAAGCCCGTGAGCCCAAGTCTAAGAGTCGCTCCCTTCTTTGGGCTTCCAGTTCACGCTGTCCCCGGCGCAGCTTCTCCTCCTTGGGAAAAATAGGGACCCAAAGAGCCCAAACGCATCCCATGAAGTCGGAAAGCTGGGGACCACGCCGACTCCTGAAGGCGTGCATGTTCGGCCTATAGCTCTTGTGCAATTCCAACAATAGTCATAGTCAACTATACAACAATACTAATAATAATGATAAACAATGGCAATATGAAAAGAGTAATAAGAAATTGATAACAATGCTGTAATACGATTATCATTGTTACCTGGAACTTATTTACTGCTGCATCTCACGGCTTTCTCCAAGGTGAGATCACAGGCCTTCAACTCCGCCAGCTCGCTGCGCGCCACGTCCCGCTCCTGCAAAAAGCTTAGGGTTTAGGGTTTAGGGCTTAGGGCCTAGGGTTTAGGGCTTAGGGCTTAGGATTTAGGGCTTAGGCCTTGGGGCTGAGGATGTAAGGTTTAGGGTTGCTTAGGGTTCATCAGGGTTTACTAGGGTTTACTCGGGTGTATTTGGGGTTTAGGCTTCAGAGGCGTTGACTCGATGCTCGATCTCCACCAGCTCCTCGGCTACATGCTGCACTTGTTGGCGCAATGCGTTGATTTCAACGTCCACCTGCGACAAAAAAGCAGCAAATCTGATATTGTCTAAGGCTAACCTCAGAAAAGCTGGCCGAAAGTGAAACGTCGCGCCTCGTTCTGTGAGTCCTGACAAATTCTAAGCTGAATTACTTCCTCGGTACAATATGATTCTTTTCAGGCCTCCTGTCACGGCTCCAGCACTCAGCACGCTAATTACAGAAGCTCCTTGTGCAAGCGATTCGGCGTCGCTCGCCCGTGAGGGCTCAGGAATCTGGCCTTGACCAGTCACAACAAAACCCAACAGCTGCGCATGATGAACTTGCTAATCGTGACTTTGGTCAGAGACACTTGGGCTATCTTGGGCTTGAGCGCTCCGAACACTACGGGCTTTGCCAACGTCTGACCACTGAGGTTTGGGGCATGACAGCCAGCAGCTAATACAATGACACAAAAAAGGGTTTGGCGATCGCGTTTTGGACCCGCTGGTGTATGGAATCATGAGGATGGAGTTCGTCAGAAACCTGCGCAGATTCTACGTTCCCATCCGACCGTGCATAACCGGGTGCGGATCTCAAGAAAGGAAAGAAACCAGCACAAACGGCTTACTGCAGCGAAGAAGGTCTAGGATGCCGACAGGATCTTGCAGTAAGTCTGCCTGCCAAGGATGTACTTATTCATTCACACCCCAAACACTTTGTGGTCGAAAGCTCTGAAATGTGAAGGTGCCTTCTGCGCAGTCTCCATGGCCTCGAGCCAGAATCTCAACTCACAGGACCTGGGCAGCAGAGGCGGCGAAGGGCTGAGATGTCCAGGAGCAGGAGTCGCGGAATTTGACTACGACGCTACGACACACACTTTGGTTTACTGACAGTACTCTCTGCTACATGCCGTGCCATGACCGCACTCGGGTGCTGACATAGGCGGCCTCGGTTCAACAGGGACTGGTCAAGAAAGCTGCGTGCGCCGGGCGCTTTCGGGGCCAGCTGCTGCCACGGCACAGCGGCGGCAAGACGTTGGATGTCACAGGTCGCCAGCTCACGCTGGCCTACACAAGCAATGCAAATTCACACATCTTGTTGCCATGCAAACTCGAAAGTGCCTCCGAGACCTCGGTGTGTATCGGTGTCGTGTCCATCATCGTTCCTGCCTTGCTCAGAGCTCTTTTCGACAGCAAGCTTCGGTAAGTCACAGGTGTCTTGCTTGCTGCAGAGCTGCCGGAGTGACGCAAGCAGAGCCGTAGGCAGGGACTGACTTCCATGACCAAGCATCATCAGCCGGGCTGGATGCATCATGATCTGGAGGCGGGGGAAGAACCATCGGCCTGGAAAGATGCTTCACGAATGATGCGTCTGCATTCATGTCTTGGCCTGGCCTACTCAAGTAGCCGACGTTTGAAGTTGTCAAAGTCGTTCCAACCGAGGCACCTGCTTGCTTGCGACTCCAACAGCGACTCCGCAACGAGTGCTCCCATTCTGCCACGGCACATTCTTGGTCTTTGGAATCTTTGGAGCTTGAGCGCATGTCAGCCAATATACTGCTGCTCAGAGGGGTGAGCGAGCTTTGCGGCGATGGAAGGCTGCAAGTGTGCTGTTCCAGACGCTCTGAAGATGACTGCGACTGCGCGAACGGATCGCTCACTGAGACGCTCTTGGTCCGGCGTGGAACCCGCAACCTTTTGCACAAGTTTGCGTCGAAAGAACAAGTGCTCGAGAGTCTTGGCACCAACAATCCTGAGTCTGCTGCTGCCTGTTGCGGCGGGTTGCACGCTCGGAGGCCCGCCGTGCAACCTGGATGTAAACTGACCCTCAGCACGTCGCTTCCTTGCACGAGAGGAGTCCTCAACCGCATCGTCAGCGCTCACCTTCAAGCCATTCGGCTGCAGGTGTCTTCGGACCCTCAGTGCCGCCAAGATACAGGCACCGAGTCCGAAGGCCAGTTCGTGGATCGCACTGAGACAGCCTTCGGCCCGCGGCTCTCTTCGCATCCACAAACACAGCCGAAAAATGAGAAGACAGAGGAGTTGTGCCTCCTTGACGACGGAAGGCGGAGACGGCCGCTGGCTCAACCCCTCGACAGGAGACGCTGAGACCGCTACCTGCTACTTCTTCGCTGTGCCCCACGTCGTGCAGGTGACCCCACCTGTCTCCTCGCGGCATCCAGGCACTCCGAACCGTCCAAGAGGAGCCTTCGGAGAAGCGAGCTACCACTCCCTACCAGCGAGTTTCCCCCCAGATCTGGCCTCGGCGAGGCAGTCACCATGGATCATAGCATGACATTCTTGACAGAACATAGGACATGCCTATGCTCAAATCTTACCGCATAGACTCTAGTTGCTGCGCAGGCTAGCTGGGCTGCCGATGTTAGCATGTCCGGCTGTCGGCTGTCAGAATGCCTCCCTACCATAATGGATGGTTCCTAGCTCGCATTGATGATCCAAGCGCGCTGCGATGCAGTATCGACAGAACACACTCTGCGCAGGCAACGAGCGATGAATGTAGGTTGATAGACAGAGTGGTGGATAGATAGGTAGATAGATAAATAGATATGTAAGGGACAAACGATACGTTCCGACTGCTCTCCAATTCTGCGACCAGCAAACAGGCAGGTACACCGTTGCAGGAAGTTCGGCCTCACTGCATCAAGCGTCCACCAAGGTTCGGCGAGAATGCAAAGCCCTTTCTTTTCATCTCCCACAAGAACAACATGCTCTGTGCATCTGCTTGGAAGACGAACCCTGAGGCAGCAGGCGCATCTGACATGAAGACGGGATTTGCCAACGGCGCATCCAAGACGGCCTGAGCTGGAGCTCCGAAATCTTTGGGCTCCTGGGAAGGCACTGGCCTTTGTTTAAGCAGGGCGCATGTGCACCCTTTTGTGGCCGACGATAGTAAACCATTCATTCGGTTAAGGCATGTTCATTCATGGAGGGTTCTTGGGAGTTGACAACCTTAAATTATGGAAGGTGGGGAAACATACTGTAAGGAAACATGAAACATTCTGCAAACTCTAAAAGCATTCCGACACACAATTCACTCAAAGTCTGCATGCGCACACTGGAAAGTAATAGCAACGGCGAGCTTTTTCTAGGAGGCCACGTCGAGAATAAGATTTTGTCAAGACAACAACCAACCAAAAGAAATGTGACAGGCTCTCCAGGCCGAAGCGTAGAAAAGGACTTTCCTCTGCTCACGACCGGCCAGAAGAAGGCAACGGGCCAGGCTCTCGCAACTTTGTGCTCGCAAACAGATGTCACTAAACTGAGATTGTGTTGCTCGGAAACTCAAAATTTCTCGAAGTTTGTGTTTCTTCGCCCAAGGCTTTCCTGACCCAAAAATGCAAACTGTCCAAAAAGGATCTCAAGACCATAACAAATAATTGCCATGGTGCCACATATTTCCAGGGCCATGTACTTTGACACTTGCGCAGGAACGTAAGTCCATTTGGGAAAAGAGAATAAAGAAAATGTACCAACATTGGCGCAGATTGGAAAGTGTGCTTTTGCTTTGAGAAGAATTGTCTGTGGTTCTTTTTGTCAATGGCTGTTTCGACCTCCGCCTGATGGCCTTTTCGGGCTGCATGGCCCCGGCAATACCCGCATGGCACTTCGCAGAATCCTACTCAAATGCTCCAGCAAAGTATCTTTGGGCGTGGTGTGGTGAGGGGGGTGTCGGGTGATAAGGGTGCGCTGATGATGATGCGATGGGTACGTTGGGTGTGTGGGTGTGTGGGTGTGGGTGTGTGGGTGTGTGTGATGGATGGAACTGGCTTACCCAACAAGGGTATGTTTTCACGGAGTTGTTAGAAGCCAAGCAGCATGCGACGTGGAAATAAGCCGGAATATTTCAAACCACATGTCGAACGACGCTCCCAAACCAAACAACCCGTCCCTTGACCACGATCCTGATATTTAGTAAAGAGACAACGATATTTAAAACAGAAACTGCTACACTGGTCGGTTGGACGGTGTATGGACGTGTCTTGCAGGTACTGCCATGTCCTGCCGGTTTACTGGGTATCTTAGACGTGCTGGATGCAAGGACATGAGACACAGATGCTGATGACGATGCTACGTTTGAAGAGGGTGATGCTGTTGCCATCACTGCCATCACCCCTGGAACCTCCATCCCCTTCTGTATCCACGTACTGATTCGATGCCCCTTCTCCTCTAGATGCTAACGACACGCTTAGATGCATCACGGGCTCTCACCCCAGGGGAGGGGGGATGTCCAAGTCTCACCTTCCTGGAGTGTGAACTTGGACACCCTGGAGAATCCAATCAGTAGTGCGCACACACCGTTCACCACATCGACCCGATCTTCACGGGGTTGAAGTCAGTCGGCAGTGCTTGGTCACCGAGGCTTGTGCGGTACATCTCGGAGACGAGTCCCCATTGCCCATCCCCCTGCGCAGAAGAGGATACAACGCTTCTTAAACGGATCCAGGCTGGGGTCGGCTCGTCTTTGCAAGGGCCGACCCTTCGGAGTGTCCTGCAGGACAAAAGCTCATGCCTTCGGATGGGAGAAGTCCCGTGGCCCTAGCTGCCAGGCCTTGCGCAGCTGCGCCCAGGGCATCATCCTGAAACTGTCTAGCAGCCAAGAATGGCAAACACCTGGGAAATATCGGCTACAGGCCTGCCCGTCTGCTTCAGCCATGGTCGGGTCGTCGTGGCAATCACAGTCATGCCCTACTTCTTCCTGTGCGCCCGTGCTTGGTCGAAGGCTCCTTGGGCCTCAAATGCCTCCTTCTCTGAAGTTCTGGTTATTTCTGGTTGGTGTGGTGTGCGTGCACGGCTTTTACAGACAGGTTGGCTAACGGACCTGAAGACAAAGCTAGCCAAGCATCTAAGCTTGAGGGAGCGGCAGGGCACAAAATCACAACCACGTGGGTTGCTCGACTCTTTACAATAGCTGCAGTCTGAATCTTCAAGGCGCACCGACGTCCAAGACTCTGGAACCACTTGGCCTTCACGCCGTCGCTCTTCCCCTGCCCAGGGTACATAAACCAGAGCAAGCCAGCACCATGGCCACCCGACGAAAGTCCAGTCAAAGCCTTTTTCCTAAGGTGCCTGCAGAGAGGATCGAGCATTCAGGGTACTGCAAGCGACCCGAGAAGAGATGCACATGCCTACAGCTCCGGCAGCACTTTAAAAGTTCCAGAGCAGCGCGTGATCAGGCCATGATGCTGTCATCGCGGCCAGGTGCATTAGCATAAATGTCTGGTGTCGAAACACATCCTTCAGATTCTCAGATTCTACGTGGTTATCTGAGCTTCACCTGACATCTGTACCAGACAGGAATTGCTCAGAGCTCAGCCGAAACAGAGTGCTGGTGCAGCTCCTCCGATATCTCACTTTTTTCCAGCCTCGAGTTTCAGCAAGAATTGGATTGGGGCCGGGTGATGCTGCAAGGTGCAAATGTAAGATCCGGACCATTGAAGGAACTTTGTAAAGTTGTCATAAAACGGCTGCCGAGCAATAAGTTCAAGGTTGTTGTGCCCGCCGTTCTCCACGAGGTAAGGCGGGTACGCGATTCCCTGGCACAGAACAGCACTTGCCTTCGGGCTTGACCAGCTCGGTTGTTAGCACACCGCAATCCTGCACCCTACATGTCTCCGAGCCTCGCGACAGTTTCGAACCAAATCCTCCGCATGAGACGATGGAATGATCTCGTCCTGCGCGATCCCAACAACACGTCCAAACTCCCAACAAGGGGTCGCGATCAGAACTCCATACTCCTGCGTCCCATGTACCTGGGCCCGGATGCGAATGCTGCGACTGAGAGCAAGGCATCAGGGGTGCTCTTTGCTGGGGGCTCCGACGATGTACACAGGGCATTTCACCTGACCTGAGCCGAAGCATCGGCGGAAACCGAACGCTAATGTAAGGCAACACTGGAAGTACGACTTGGTTTCGGCCAAGCCGCCTATTCTGTCAACATTGGGAAACATGTCGCCGGGCAGCGTGAAACTCAGGGCACAACGTCACGCAGGGAAGAACATGCTGCTCTTAAAACACAGGAGCATGAGGCTTGCCCCGGCCTGGAGGAAAATGCCACCCGGTAGATTGAGAGCAGGGGACTCTGGAGCACAATGGCTCTTACGGCAGTCCTGTGAGTCTCAGCATGGGCTTACCTTGAGATTGGCAAGCAGTGTCCTTGTTGCCAAATGGATCGATGGACCCGACCCGATTGATCTTCCATACACCACAATCTCAGGTCGTTGGTCTCTGAAACACTGGGCCTGAAGCATGCACGCAGTCTGGGCTCCTTGCCTCACTCCACGGCGTACCAACGATGTCGCGGAGGTACTTGAAGGCCGCCTGCTTCCGACAAACACACAGCATGCTTGTGCCACCGACAGAACACGTCACCCCAAAAGTGGTGGAGACCCACCTCGATGTCTGCATACAGAGCTTGCTCCGATGGCTTGCCTGAAGACAGACTTCCCCGCATCGAAAAAAAGTCGTGGCGTGGCACAAGTTCCTGAGCTCATCCCGTATCCAGTGTAATCATACGCGAAGACAT